AATGAGTGGCATCCCATGGCCCACATGAGTACCTCTAATAGTGGTTCCACCCCTCGAGTTGTGCAGGGCAGCAGCCTTGGCCGTGAAGTTCCATTAACAATGTGCCCGCCCCAGGTAAAGGACCGGTGGGTGAAATGCTTGGGGGCACGTGGTCTTGAAAGACAAGTGTCTTTGTCATAAAGGTGTGCTGCCTTCTTAAAACCCGAGATCTTTAAATGTGGGACTTTAACTTCAGAAGAGCCATTGAAGGAACCCGAGCCAACATGGTATGACACTCCATGTCTCTAGCACTTAGAAGGCTGAGGCAGGAGAATCACAGGTTGCAGGTATCCTGGGCTATAATAGTGAGACCCTGTCCCAAAACAAAAGTAAGGGACCAAAAAACAGAAAATGTGACAGCCTAAGGAAAGAAGGTGGCTTGAGAGTATAAGGCTATACAGCCCTCATGGTGTCCTTCCTGTTCCTGTCACCCCAGCACACAGCAGGCCAATGTTTGCTGTGTTGGAAGTTGTATCTAACTGCTGGTTTCTTGTGGATAGGCTGTACCAGTGCAGGCCCTCACTTTAATCCTCACTCCAAGAAGCATGGTGGACCAGAGGACCAAGAAAGGTGAGTGGCATGTTCCATAGGCATGAAGGTGCAGAGGCCACCTAGAAGACAGAATTCAGTGATCTCCCTACATCTGCTTTGTATTGGTTTTTACTCACACAACTTCTCCATCCCCCAGTGCTGGAATGTTTTTTTGGGGGGGTAAAGGAGTTGACAAATGGGGACTCTTAATGTGATTTAGTTTTGTAGCATTTATTGATGATGAATACAAGAGCCAAAAGGAACCAATACAGAAAATGTCAAGGATTAACAGTACTGTCACTAGCAAAGTAAATCATTATGTAACAGGACACTAGTGCAGATAAAGAAAGCTAGTTGAGACTCCATTTATAGGTGACCCCCCCGCCCCAAGCCCTAAATTTAAAGGACTGCCTTGTTTCTATACTGGAGGCCTGGGAGCAAAGCTTTGCTAAGTATGCCAACTCAGGAGCTGAGTTCATCCTTTGCTATAATCCCCAAAATGAGAAGTATATCCCAGACCATGACTCTTTTCAGAGTGTGCTTTTAAACATGAACTGTGTTCAGGTGTTTCCAGACCTCTGTCAGTCTGGAAAAGTGGTCACATCTGGTATGTGTTGTGCACTTGTAACCCACTGGTATGTGTTTGACTTGGTGACGTTTCCTTAGCTCTTCAACTGTGCTGATGTGAATGTAGATATGCCTGCTTATCCCCTGATGCTGTTCTAACATTAGGCACGTTGGAGACCTGGGCAATGTGACTGCTGGGAAGGATGGTGTGGCCAATGTGTCCATTGAAGATCGTGTGATCTCACTCTCAGGAGAGCATTCCATCATTGGCCGAACAATGGTGGTAAGTTTTCATAGAAGAACATATGTGGGACTTATAACATGGTTGCATACCTTTTTCCATGACTTCATGGTCAGACTATTTTCTAAAGAATCACATAAGTTGTTAAAAGAGTTCAGAATAGGAACAAAATTTTATTGGGTATGATAGTGAAGAGTTAATTTGCCTATCAGGTAAGAACACTGTTCTGCTGAGATGCAGTGAAAAGCAGGTTACATTTGATCAGACTGGGTCTACATTGAACAAACAGTAGTCTTGAGTTTAAAACAGCCAGATTTTCTTGCCATGATTTGCTCCCCTTAACAGTTAAACATTTCGTTGAGTGTAAAAATCTGCGATGGATGTCAGTATTCAGGTCTGTAGGTTATCATCGCTTGGTTACCATATGGGAGCCGTCTTCCCAAGTTACCCTCGGGAGCTGAGTCTGGTTCATGCAGAACAAGTAGTAAAGGCTCCTGCCCAGCTTGGGCAGCTACCTTTTCAGTAGGCACTTCCTTTCAGTTGACCCTTTATCCTTAGAATTTTCTTCAGCCCTATTGGTGAAGCAGAACAGTCATTTATAAATGTTCTAAAATTAAATTTAAAGTCTTGTTGCTAAATAAAGATATTTAGAATTGCCTCTTATTTAGGCCTATAGTTCACTGATGTAAGATTTTGGGCATGTGTATGTGTGAGGCTGAGATCAGCGTGTGGTCTGGTACAGTCACTTGGGTCATTAGTATTTCATTTAGAAACAGCAGCATTACCTAGCATTTAAAGGTAACGAACGGGTCTTTGTCACTAGCAAGGAGAACTTAGTTTCTGCTCCTAACTGATAGCATAAATACTAGCTTATTTATTTACTAATAGATTTGAACATTTTGTAATGTAAGTGGTCCTTTTAAGTCTGGTATTACTGGGAAGAGGTGCTAATTACTTGACTGCCCAAAGCTAAATGTTCTCAATTCTTTTCAAAGGTCCATGAGAAGCAAGACGACTTGGGCAAAGGTGGGAATGAGGAAAGTACAAAGACTGGGAACGCGGGCAGCCGCTTGGCTTGTGGAGTGATTGGGATTGCCCAGTAAACACTCCCTGTGTGGCTGAGACTCAAACTCATCTGCCATCCTGCTAAACTGTAGAAAAAACCCATTAAACTGTAATATTAAAAGTGTAACTGTGTGACTCCTCTTTGGTTGTTTTAAGGACTGGTAATGAGAACTGATTGATGATGCTCGGAAGATGTGTGTAGCTTTATAACTCACTGAACAAAAATTGATTTCCATGCATCTCTGTAGACTTAATTGCACATGGGCATTAAACTCAATTCTCATTCAAGCCTACAAGTAAACATGTATGACACTTGTTTTGAGCCTATTAACATATATAAACAAAAATTGGAAGTTAGCGCCATACATCAAGCATCAACAACAGACTGAGGTGTTGCTAACGTTCATAGTACTCCATTTTGAAAGGGTTTTGTGTGGTAGCTCAAACCAAATTTGATCCTAGAAAATGTGCTGCCCTTTGTTAGTAGCTTCACAGGAATTAACAAAAGCTCTTTGTTTAGATTCAGAGTATCAACTACTTTAAAATAAAAATACTATATTTAGATGTCATAATTTAGGAAAAAGCCCCCTAGTAACTTGCACTGAATTTGGAAAAGGCAACTATACCTGCTCTCCTTCCTAAGTGACTGCACCATCTGTTTCAGTGCTCTGGAAAACAGCAGCACTGGAGTTGTGAGGAGAGACCACGTGTGACTGCAGATTCTGACTGAACCCTGACTTCAGAGCATACATAAGCTGAAGAGATTGTCTCTTACTATAGAAAGACACCCTTTTAAAGGAAATCAATGTGATATCAGCTTGTACAAATAGAGCCTATCTGAAGGTCGGAGAATGGAGCTTGCCACTAGCTAGCCACAGAGGTGGAGGTCTGTACAGGTGACTATCTGGAATAGTTCATTAAGCTGAAATGTTTGTGACAAGTGAGGTATGAGCCATAGTTCTAAATTTTCCATATACAAGTCATTGGAGACTGCTAAATTGGAGAAGGGAAAACTTTGGTGTTCTAAAACTGTTCATAAGGAATGTGTTCATAAGTGGTTATGTTGAAGTTTGAGGTAAACATGTCACAGATTTCCTTAGAGTAGTTTTGATGTGTGGGATGACTCATGGCCGAGACTAAGCATGTGGTTGTATTGTTTAGTGGTTCGTTTCTCATTACGTTAGTTGGAAATGCAAGTCTGTCCTTGAAACCTGGGCACGGGATAATCAGGTGTATGTTTTCTCCCTGGAAGTATTCTAGAGCAAGAACTTAATCTCAGTAGGGTCAAAACTAAACCCTGAGACAGCTGCAGAAGTAAATCTTCCCATCATCACCAAGGCCCTGCACTTAAAACTCAAGTGAAACCATACAAAAAGAACTTCTCAGAACTAAAGCTAAGCCAACTTAGGGAATTTTTTTAACTTAGCATCTTGTGGTTTTAAAAAAATCACATTTTCTTATTTTTAGGGTATGTTCATGAGAGGAAGAGGAGTTAGTGTACTTCCAACACTTGGGTCCCAGCAGTCAAGCTGAAGCCATCAGGGCTGGCAGAACATTTCTTTACTGTCTGAGTCATTTACTTGTTCCTAATTTTAGGAAAAAACAGTGGTTCTCAATCTGTGAGTCACAACCCCCCCAAGGGGGTCCCATATCATCGGATATTTACATATACAGTTATGAGGTAGTAACAAAATAAATTTCATGGTTGGGGTCACCACAACACAAGGAACTGTATTACGGGGTCGAGACATTAAAAAGATTGAGTCAGGCGTTGGTGGCATATGCCTTATAGTCCCAGCACTCAGGAGGCAGGGGTAGGCAGATCTCTGAGTTCAAGCCTGGTCCAAGGAGCTAGTTCCAGGACAGGCTCCAAAGCAAAAACCAAAACAAACAAAAAACCAAAACAAACAAAAAGAGATTGAGAACTACTGTAAATAAACATCAAACTAACATCAAGTCCCTGATGCTAGACAACTGTGCTTTTTCAATACCATTGGTTTTGGCTTCAGATGCAGGAGCAGAAAATCGAGAGTACTTCTTGAGCTATTGTTGGAAATGGTAAATGCAACAGGCAAAGCTTACAAGATACGTTACACTGTACCTAGTCTATAAAAAGCTTTCTGGTTGCATACATTGACCTTGACCTCATTCTACACCTTGGAAATTTTAATGGGATGATTTATAAACAACATCTTCAACCTTCTAAATTAAGTAATGCCCAGGTAATCAGGTAATTTGTAGTATAATGCGTAATGTTAGAAATCCAATTATTTTACATATTAATTATAGCAACATTACCTCAAAGCCAACAGGGGGTAAAAGATCTGAACTGCAAATACAAGTTTCTTAGTTTAACATTAAGACCAATAACCTTTACCTTATGATCAAAATATTACGAATCAAAAGAATAAGACTTGTGCTGGCAAATACTACCTAAGTGTCTTCTTCCCAGCAAAGAAGTCTAACTTAGACTCCAATCTGTTATCAACAGCTCAAACTGATGGCTAACATCCTTTTCCACCTTAATGCAGAGCATGAAGAATAGCACACGTTAAAGTTTGTTACGAAAATAGAGTTTATTAAAAACATCCCTATTGTTTGAGGAGCTTTCACCGTTACCTTGTCTTAAATTAAAAAAAAAAAAAAAAAATAGAGAGCACTTCTAATTAGGATTTGTAAACTTTTAAAAGTCAAAACTTTTAAAAAGTTACAGCAAAAAAGGGTAATATATCTTCAGTATTTTTTGTTATTTTGTGGCTATTTTTAAATAGAAGGGAAGCAATCAAATTGCTTACAATCCCCACCAACTACTGTGGGGTGGTGCAGCAGGAGCAAATATTATACAGCATCTGTACACCTCAGCTCTACACCCCAGTGTCACTGTCACACTCTGTCACATCCAGTCTCTAGCGAGGAGCCTCTGCTGCCGAGCCAGAGTCCTTCTCGGGTTCAACGGATGAGGTAGCCTCAGCAGGTGACTCTTCGGAAGGTTTTACCACTGTGGCCATGGCCTCCCCCTTGTCAAGTTCTGAGACAGTGTCTAAGTCTCCCACTTGGCTAAGGGGAGGTTCACTGGCTTTGTTACCGCCCGCCCTGTCTGCCGTCAGCTCGTGCTTATCCCTTCGGCTTTCTTCCTTCTCTCTACGAGACTCTCTATCTCTGGAATCCCTGTCTCTGTCCCGATGCCCACTAGAGCGTCTGTTTCTGTCTTCCAAGTCTCTGTGCCTCTCCCGGTCAGGGCTCCTTCTCCCCCACTCTCTCCGTTCACGGTTACTATTATCTCTATCGTCACTTCGGTTCCCATACCGTTCCCGGTCATTTTCCACCCTATTTCCAAAAGATCTTCTTCCAAACCTTTCTTGGTCTCTACCTGAATTGAACTGCTGCCTGTTATCATTTCTAAACTGCTGTGGCTGCTGCTGCTGAGCTGGCTGCTGTGATGGTGGTGGCTGCTGTGGCTGTGACTGTTGTGGTGGCGGCTGCTGCTGCTGCTGCTGTGGTTGCTGCTGCCTTCCATCTCTGTCTTCTGGTCCTCCTGGGCCTGGTCCTGGGCCCCCAAGCCCTGGCATTCCACCAGGCCTAACAAAGGGGCCATGTGGTGGAAAGGGCCCTTTCATTCCATGAGGTGGGGGCATGGCAAAGCCCCCTGGTCCTGGAGGTGGACCTCTGTGCATCATGTGGGGCGGCATGGGGCGTGGTGGCATCATAGGAAACCGCTGCAAGTGAGGTGGTGGCATCCCGGGGGGGCGCTGCAGTGGGATCAGGCCAGGTCTGGCACCAAGAAGACCAGTAGACGGTGCCTGAAGCCCAATTACAGGACCGGGTGCAACTCCTTGACTGCCTAGAAGATCACACAAATGAAAATGTCAGTATCTATTTCTAGAAGTTGTAAAGAAATATACAATTCAGTCTTGAATCAGTCTCACTCTTGAATTCATGCTGAGCTAACCCATTAGCTAGGGTAAACGATGGGAGACTCACTATTTAGGGACCTAATACACACACACAGACCAAGAAATACTGAAAGAGGAAATTGTAGCATTGCAATTCTTGTCAGTCTTTTTCTCTAGCAGAAGTTGTTTTACCAACACTTATGACATTTAACAGTGTGCTAAGTCTCAATGAGATAAAGGCCTGTATTCACTGTCAGCACGTCTCTCAACCACGGTTTACAATCTGATTCCATGTTTTATGTGACTACTCTGAAGGAGAGGCTATAAGGCATCTAGACAGGCTTCATGTTCCAACTACTTCATGTAGCAGTTGTGCAGTATCCACCAGTATTCTAGGATCTACGACAATGACCCCCCCCCCACAAACTCGTTTTTCAGTGTTTTCTAAGCACTGTTTGAAAGGTCATCTACTAGGTCAACCAGAGGGCTGGACTATGTGGAGTCCTCAGCCACGCCCCTTCTCCTCTTCCAAGGCAGAGGCTGACTCAAGCCTTCCTCTCACTGCAAGATTCATGTACGTTCAACCCAGCCTTTACACAGCATGGAAACATAAGGATTTGTTTCTGTTTTGATAAACAGGCATCAATCACATCTATTTTTTTCCAAAGACAAAGAGCAAAAGTCACTATGATCAAAAGGTTATGTTGATACTAGAAAAGGCTCCAGATGGCAACAGGTAATATAGCAACAGCTAATAGTCACACCATTGCCCAAGGACCACAGAAAAGCCTTTGAGAAAGCTTTAGGTTATGACCATCAGCTGACAATGGTCAGAAGAGCCCGTGTGATAAAATGACACCACTAATTTTAGATTTACGGCTTGAGTCAACTTACGCCTGCCCATTGTAGAAAACTAGCAAGTCCTGCATATCCCCAAGTCTTCTATATGCAGCACTACTAAGGATGAACGAACATTCCATTTGAACTATGTGTGAGCCATATGTTTGGTCAGACTAAGCCATTCAATGTATGAATGCCAGCTTACAATATTTTTACTCAGACACTCAACCACATATTTACTTGGTTTCACTGTGCAACCTTGACTGTCCTGGAACTTGCTTCAGTAGACCAGGTTGGCCTTGAACTCACAGAGTGTTAGGATTAAAGGTGGTGCACCACCACAGCTCAGCTAAGAGTTACTTTTGATAGGCACTTAAGCGTTCAAAAAAGGTGAACAGTAGTGCCTGTAACTTAAAATGACAGTTCAGTGCCTGCTGAGGTGACTGTGGCCACCATTATTTCACACATTTTTTTTTTAGTAAGGTGATATTGTAGGACTAAGCAGGACATTTTAAATCCATGTTCTTCCAATACCAATTATGCTTTGAAGTCAAGTTTAGCAGGTGAGAACTTAAAGCTAACGACTAACAACATCAGCTTGTAAGGTGAGGAGCCCTGTGAAATGGAGAATGCGGCAAGGACTTTGAGAAGATCACTAGAAAACCCCAGAAAAATAAAAATAGAGACCACCAGCTGGGCTAAGCCTAATACTCAAGTGGCAAATGCAGCCGGTGCTTTTAGTGCACTGGGTTGTTAGGAAATGTCTGTTTTCAAGGACCAAGATGATTGGGTGCGTACTGTTACGGTGGTGTGGCATCTTCCAGTGCTAAGAACTCAAGACAAGCCTGAGAAATCAGTCAGGCTCTCGCTGGGAACTGGAGAGTCAGTGCTTAACCACCAAGCTGACTGCGGATGGAGGATGCAAGGCTAACTCCATATCACAGGAGATAAAATGATCTTTTACTAAACGTAAGCCACAGACCCTGGGACCACTTATTAATCCTCAATCTGATCTGAAGATGAGCAGGGATAAATCGGGCCAATACCTGCAGTAATCATGGACTGAAGTCTCCCATAAAGGACAAAGCAAAACACCTGCCCAATCTATTTCACACATGTGTTTCTATCTGGCATCCACTCTAAAGTATCATCAGCCAAACCCTTTTCATTTTTGTCATCTGGGAAGATGTTTGCGATGGTATGGCCTCTTGGGGCATGGAGAAACAGTGACATTTATAGGTCACATATACTACTGGCCCTCACTCAATGGATAACCTCAGCTCCCTGACCCCTATAGCTGCAGCTCCTTTAGCTATTTTTGCAGTAAAAATCCACTATGTCTGTAATAAAGGACTAATTCCGATGTGTCCGGTGAGCCCTTTAATAGGCACATGTTAACTTTTGCTAGGAAAGCTTCAGGCTTTGGCATTACACACCAGCGAAATAGAAGACACTTCAGGTGTAGAAAAGGTATGCAGGCTATACTTAGGTTTATCTGGAGTGGGCTGAGTTTTGTAGTTATAAATTAAAGAAAAACTAATTAATATACCAAAACTGTAATCATTGGATGATTAAAACATCCCTTCCTATTTCAGTAGCTAGATGGTGCCCAGATGCTGAGAGGGTTGGACTGACCATGTGTGGCCTGAACAGGCATCGCAGAAGAGGCCTGGGTTGGGTAAGAAGGAAAAGGCAGAGAAAATACAAAACCAGTGTGGGTAGGGCAAGGTGTGATGGAGGAGAAGGAGTTGGGAGCTTTTAAAACAGCTTAGTTAGCGCTCCAGTGAGGCAGTGGGTGAGCCATCCAAGGGATCCCAAGGGTTAGGAAGCTGACTAGGTGGGCCAAGGCAGTAGAGGCCTTGAGTGACATGATAAAGGACCTGGTCTTTCCGTACTTGATGGAGAAAACCAGGGTGGAATCCCAGACAGATGAATGATCTTTTTTGGTACGTGGTGCACAGAAAGCCAAGAGGATCAGACTATTAGTTAGGTTCTTACTCCCAAGAATCTCAGAATGACAAAAGGCTGAACTGGAGTAGGAGACCCAGAGGGCAGGACTGAACTCTGGGATGAAGAAAACACAGATCTCTGCATGGATGAAGGTGTCAATGCAAGATGGAAAATGCAGAACCAACAATTTTAGATGGACAAGAACTGTCTGACTGTAACAGAGCGCGTGGACAGCCTTGCAGGATGAGAGGCAGTAAATCCTATACAAATGGGGGTCTGCAGAGCAGAGCCAGTGTTAACACTGGCCAACACGGAACAAAAACAGCTCAGACCTGGGGAGATAACACACCACATACACTTAGAATTTTCTAGAAAACCAAGGTTTGGGAGCAGGCTGGGGGGGGGGGGAAATCCAAATGCCTGCCTGTAATCCCAGAACTCAATATGGAGGCAAGAGGTATGGTGGGCCCCAGCTAGCAAGGGTGAAGATGGTGGTGGCAACAAAACAATTACATAGTAGTTAAAAAAAAAAAAGGCCAGTTTCCTATTAGTCCTCACAATGGCAGAACAGATCTATGGAAAGGCTAAGGGGCAGATGTCAGGAGGTCACTCTCGACACCAGTGCACAGGCTGGGATCACACGGTGTGAAAAGGATACATATAAACACAAGGGCTTTCACCCACAGAGGGCATGAGACCCAAGGGGGTCTTTAAAGAGCAGAGGAGTCTCCCATGTGCAGGGGTGAGGGCCAAAGGATCTGCCCCTCCTCCTCTACTTGGCCAACCTGGCCTTCCATGGCAGGTAAGGGGAGCTTCATCACCAGGAATGCTACCCATCCATGCACCTCCTGAGACTCCCTCAACAACCTCCTTCCTTAGTCCTAGATTCTCTCTCAACACTGCTTCCTGGAAAATCCCCAACAACCGTTTGATATTCTTAAAACCTGTAGGGCTGGGGACATGATCACAGGGCTTCACACTGAACCACACCTTCAACCCCAATGCTTATTTAATCTGGGAGTTCCCCCCCCCCCCAACCCCAAGCATACTGACTGGCCCCCTTAGGAAGGGTTTTAACACGTTATTTCTCCCTGACCAGCAACCTTACATTTCCCAGTCAATTCACAAGCCCACATCCAGGGTATTTATTTCATAGGTTACTGTTTCTTCTCAGTCTACTTATCTGGTTGGCTTTAAGAAAACTTTAGTAAGATAAAACTCCATGTCCTATAATGTGCTCATACAAACATTTCAAGCCAATGGTTTTTGCATTCAGCATACCTTCACTATCCTTAGAAGCCTGATCTATTAACCATCATTTTCTCCTCCCCCAGCCCAGCCAGTTATTTTTTATTTCTGTGGACTTGCCTGTTAATCAACATAAAAAAAGAAAAAAAAAATCATACAATACGTAGTCCTTTGAGAGTGCTTCCTTCCACTTGGCATTTTTCCAAGGCTCATCCAAGTTGTTCAGCATGAGCAAGTACTTATTATCAAATAGTCTTCCATTATATGACCACACCATTTTGTTTTATTATACTTGCTTTTTGTAAAACAATCTTTTGCTACTTTCCCACCCAACCCTTAAAGCTTCAAAACGTACTTAAACCCTGGCTGTGGCTGTACAAAGGCCCCTTGCCCCTATTGCTGGATCCACTCTTAATCCTCTATTAACATACTGTATGTTACCCTCCCTTCTTTCTTGTACTAGGTTCTCCAGAATCACCCACTATTTAGGAATAAAAACTAACTGTTATTTTTTTTTCCCAGCATTTACCCCTATGTGTCCACATAAAGCAATACTCCCCAGGGATTTAAAAAAAAAAAAAAAATAATCTACACCCATTTCTCCACCCCCATCCTCTCCTGACCCTGCATCTGGTTTCAAATGCATCATTGCAATCAACGTTTTCTTACGGCACCCACAGCCTTCCTTTTGTTGAGGGCTGCTGCCACTACTCAGCACGTGAGCTGAGACTACATCTTGTTGCAGGCTCCAGGACGGCCTCCATTTAGATCTTCTTGCTTCTTCTACTTCCCGGGTTTGAGGGTTACATCACGAGCCATCACCGAGACTCAGGGGTTTTGAGCCAACAATGGCACTTGGGAGCTCATGTCTTCCCCTTTGCCTCTGCACAGCCTCTAGAGTATTTCCCCG